TCACATAGAGAGGAATGAACAGTGGGTTCTGTCCAGACTGAGACCTGATTTACCCTGTGTATGAGTCTGCTCGGGGCTGCCATAACAAATACCACAGAAAGGGTAGTTTAAACATCAGACATCTCCCAGTCCTGGATGCTGTCTGAGATCAAGGTGTTTCTCCTGAGGTCTCTCTCTTTGGTGCTTAGACAGCTGTCTTCTCCCCAGGTCCTCACATGGTCTCCCCCTGTGCCTATCTGTGTCCTAATCTCTTCTTGTAGGACATCAATCCTATTGGATTAGCATCCACCCTACTGACCTCATTTTTACCTTGATCACCTCTTTAAAAATCCCATCTCCAAATACAGCCACATCCTGGGGTCCTGGGCGTTAGGGATTCAGCATGTGAATTTGGAGGGACGTGGCTGAGCCTATACCATCCTCCTTAGGAACCAAGTGTGCTTCAGTCCTTCCTTCCCTCAAGTCACACAAGGTGATGTAATGGCTCAAGGAGAGGCCACTCGTGCAGAGTTTGTGTCCCAGCCGGGGAAGCCTCCTCTGCTCTCTTTGATCAGGCCGTGGCAGTGCCGGCCCAGTCCTGAGGTGAGCAGTTCTGGGGTTTCCTGCCATGTCTCCCGGCCTGCTAAGGTGCTCATTGTCAGGGCACTCAGGAGCCAGCAGCCTAGTGGGGATGCCGGGGACTCTCAGGGCCTTGGCAGGTGTCTCTCCCAGCAGATACCCTAGCGAAAGTGGGGAAACATTTGGGGGATTACAGGTGGGAGAGAGTCAGTCTCGTTTATGCATCAGAAAGAGCAGGTTGGGGTGGGATGTGAGACGCACCGTGCTGGCAGGGAGCTTTGCCAGGCCTGATGGAGGAACCAGGCACCAGATCGGGCTTGGGCCAGGGCTGTGGGCGTAGAGGGGAATTAGTGTGGGAACCGGCCACAGACTGTTGTCGAAATCTCAGCTTCCCTGTGCACCGAGGCCGAACAGAAATACGGAGACAGGGATTTTGGAGGAAGAGAGAGATGCCTTTATTTTTCTGCCAGGCAGCAGGGAAGACACAGCTGGCTAGCGCCTGAAGAACTGGGCATCCCCTCCTTGAAAATCAGGGAAGATTTTATATGTGAGTCTCCCGCAGTCCGGGGTATAGGATAAGGATCAAAGTAGTGAAGGTCTTGCATTCCTCCTTTCCTTTGCATTATTTCAAAACAGTCATAGGTGGCATCAGGCCGCCCGGTAATTGGGGTCCGGCAGTCTGGTAATTGCGTCTGTTTGCCTCTGGTTTATCGGCCGGTGACCTTGTTTCTGAAATGAAAAACTATAGGGGGTGATTTGTTATGAGGGGCGTATAGAATGTAAATGCTGGACATAATAAGGTTAGGGAGTGAGAGGCAGGGGATGTAACTCACACAGAGTTAGGGGTGATGGGTGCCGAATGTAAATTACATAGTGTCAGGGAGTGAGATTAGCTTTGTAAAGTACAAATCTAGTTACTACAAATGAGTGACAAAGTAAAACAAGGAGTGATGAACTCTTTCAGGCCAGGTTATGTTTCTTCTCTAGCCTGTTCGCTGTTCCCTTTGTTTTCCTTGTTCTCAGGGGAGGGAAAACTTCATTTCTATTTTTGCTGCAACAAGACTCTGGAGGAGCAGGTGACAGTCACTGGGGCACAAGGAGGGTGGGAGCCTGGGAGACCCCAGTGTTACCGAACAAAACGTGGGTCCGCTTGCCCGAGTGCAGTAAAGCCAGTCTACTGACACTGGGTGTGGTGAAGGAAAGTGCAGCTTTAATTGTAAAAGTGCCAATACAAGGAGGCCAGGCGGCCTGTGCTCTAAAGCCCCAAGCTCCCTGAAGGATTTCATCAAAGCAATTTTAAAGGCCAGGTGAAGGAGGGGGGTCGCAGGGTATGTGATCAGCTGGTGCACAATTCTCTGGTTGATGGTGAGGTAACAGGCGGTTAATATTATAAATTCTTAGGCACCAGAAGCTCCTGGACTACCTGTTCATGATCATCAAGTAGTTAATTTCTTCCACTTCGCGGTGGAGGAAGCGTGCATCAGACATTGTTATCCAGGTACTTCAGAGAGGACCTACAGCAGAGGATGTGGGGGAGCAGTCTGTCCTGGGAAGGTCCCGTAGGTTCCTGCTTGGTTACACCCAGTGCCTGGGCTCAGCAACCTGGGAAGGTGGGGCTGCTCCTGGGTGTGCAGAGCTGTGGGATCCCAGTTCTCTGAGGGGCCTGTTAGCCCCCAAGGTGAGATGGGGGTGCAGCGGCTGGACAGAGGCGTCTGGCCTGGGAGAGGGGTCCAGGCTGGAAATGTCACAGGAATCATCACAGGGAGGGAGAGGAAAGGCCGATGGGGGCAGATCGGTCACAGCAGACTGTGCAGGTGACTGCGGTCCTGTTGGAAGCAACTCAGAGCCAGAAAGGAGTGGCCATCAGGGGCTCAGCTCCATTCTCTTGTTCCTTTGTAAAACCGCTGTGTCAGAGTTTGAGACACCGCCAGGAGACGTCTGGGCCCAGTGCTGCCATGGCTTCATCAAAGGGCCCAGGGGGAACAGAGAACCACTGCAGGCCCTGCCCATGTCCGCACTGGGAATGAACCCCATCGGGGCTCCTGGGCTCACAGACTTGAGGGAACCTCTGTCCTCAGGACGGGGCTTCCTCCCTCCTCTCACCTGCTGGTCAGAGGCCCAGGAACCCCCAACCTGGCTCCAACCCCAGGGCCTGGATTCTGGGACAGCTTAGGGGTAAGCAAGACCCTCATGCTCCTTTATCTGCCTGGGGGTGAGAATGTCTTAAACGCTGCAATTGACTGATTATGGAGGGCTGAGTGTTTCCAGCAGGTATGGGTGGAAAGATGGGGTGTGAAATTCCTGTGTCTGCAGGGTCTTCCCAGCATGAATATCTGTGTGTTTCCCTCGGCCCATCAACATCCTCCCAGGAAGCCCAGATCCAGGATTATGAGGGCAGAGGCTCTCCCCTTGCTTATCTGTAACCTCCCACTCCCACAGCAAGGAACATGGCTCCCACCATCTGCCATTTATCTGTGCATTGCTCCTTTCCAGGTTACATGTGCAGAGGTTTCAGAATTGTTGGCTACTACACCCTGGAAAGAACTTCGTAGAATAAAGCCCACTGTTTATATACGGTCCATTTTGCCTTTAGTCTACAGATTCCATTCATTTCCAAAGGTGACTTAGGTCAGCAGCTTTTATCCCATCCCCTACAGTGAGTTGTTTCCATATATTTCTAATACAGTTAGATTCTGTGACATTATGTATTCCATCCTGCAACACTCCTACATCCTAAATAACTAAATTTGAATAGATTATGATTGGGCCCTTGGGCTATGCACATCTGTGGGCTTAGACAAATGCATAGTGACAGGTATCCACCCTAGAGTATCACATGGACTACTTCAAACCCCCCACCCCATGATCTGCTTATCATCTATGTAGCTTTGCCTTTCCCGGAATGTCATCAATGGGGTCATACTGTGTGCAGCCTCCACAGACTGAAGTCTTTCACTTAGCAGTATATACTGAAGATTTATCCATGTCTTTCCATAGGTTGGTGGTACATTCTTTTCTGCTGAGTAGTATTCCACTGCACGTGTATGGGAGGAAAAACAATTTTCCCTCTACTTTTCTAGGTTTTTGGTTGAGGCCCCCTGCCCCTGTAATAAAAGACAGATTACCAGGAGAAAAGCAGAAGTTTAATAACATGTATACCTTCTGAATACAGGGGGATACCACAGAAAACTGAGTCACTCCCTGAAATGACCAAAACCATCCCCTTAAATACCGTCTTCAGCTAAAAACAGAAGAAAGGTGCTGGGGAAGGGGGGGAAGGCCAGTTATGGCAGGTTATCATGCAAAGCACAGTAAACAAGGGTATGACTGTTTGCACATTTAAGTCAGGACTTCCCCATTGAAAAGAGTTACTTAAGATTTAATTATCCTTCTATTTTTGGTGCAAAGAGGGACATACCCTTATAAATGGAGATTTCTCTGTTGTAAATGTCCTTCATAAAACGGCAATCTCAGTTTTCTGAGATTTTTTTAAAAGTTTATTATTTTTGGCTGCATTGGGTCTTCGTTGCTGCGGGCAGGCTTTTCTCTGGTTGTGGCAAGCAGGGGCTACTCTTCATTGCGGTGCGCGGGCTTCTCATTGTGGTGGCTTTTCTTGTTGCGGAGCACAAGCTCTAGACGTGCGGGCTTCAGTAGTTGTGGCACACGGGCTCAGTAGTTGTGGCTCTTGGGCTCTAGAGCGCAGGCTCAGTACTTGTGGCTCACAGGCTTATTTGCTCTGCAGCATGTGGGATCTTCCCGGACCAGGGCTCGAACCTGTGTCCCCTGAATCGGCAGGCGGACTCTTAACCACTGAGCCACCAGGGAAGCTCTTTTTTTTTTTTTTTAAGCAGACCAATAATCCTTATGCCAGAGAGACATATTTTGGGGTGGCATATTCTACTTGCCTTGACATGGATGTACCCCAATTTGCTTATGCATTCATCTTTTGAAGGATATCCTGATTTCTTCAAGTTTTTAGCCATTATGGAAGTGCTGCTGTGCATAATTGCATCCTTCTTTGCATTTGGACATAGATTTTCAAAGCAGTTGCCTAAATACTGGAAGTGTGATTGTTGGATCCCAACGTGAGACTTGTTTAGCTCTGGAAAAAACTGCCAAATTGTCTTACAAGGTGGCTGCACATGCACCCCCCAGCTATGAGGGAGAGGTCCTTTTGTTCCTCACCCTCTAGCAATTGGCATTGTCATAGTTTTGGAGCTCAGCAGTCCTAATAGGTGTGCTGTGATAGCTCATGATTTTAATTTGCAATTCCCTAATGGTATATGATGTTGAGCTTGTTTCTGTATGACTTTTACTATCTGTATATCTTTTTTGGCGGGATGTCTGTTCAGATCATGCTGTTCGTGTTCATACTGAGAGGAGCCCTGTCTCCTCAGGACCTGCTGGGGCTTTGGCTTCTGGAAGGTGCGGGGCTGAGTCCACGCTGATGGCCGGGCTTCGGGACAAGCCAGGGTCGAGTCCACACTAACAGAAGCCGGGTCTCCTCAGGACCCGCTGGGCCTTCAGCTTTGGGACACCGTGGGGTCCAGTTCATGCTGACAGGAGCCTGGTCTCCTCAGGACCTGCTGGGAGGTGATGCCGCTGAGGGAGAAGGTGAGGAAAAGTGGGCAGAAGGTTCCTGTGCGTGGCTGACCGCTGAGGGTGTCTGTCTTCAGAGGACCCAGGAGAGGAAGAGCTTGATGTGGAAAACTGGGTTTTTGACCCCTTTTGTGTGTGGTGTAGACAGAGTGCAGTGTTATTCTTTGGCGTGTGGCGTCTGGTTTTCCCAGCACTGTTTATTGAGGGGACTATCCTTTCCCTGGTGTATGTTCTTGACTCCTTTCTTGTGAATTAACTGACCACATGCCTGTAGGTTGATTCCTGGGTTCTCTGCTCTGTTCCTCTGGTCTGTGTGCCTGTTTCTGTGCCAATTCCACACTTTTTGGGGACTGTAGCTTCGTAATGAAGTGTGAAATCAGGGAGGGAGATGCCTCCAGCCCGTTCTCCTTCCTCAGGGTCGCTTTGGCTCTTCTGGGTCCTTTGTGGTTCCACACACAACTTAAGATTATTTGTTCTGTTTCTATGGAAAATGTCATTGGACTTTTGGTAAGGATTGCGTCGAATGTGTACATTAATTTGGCTAGAATACATATTTTTTTAAATTAAAAAAAATTGGGGGCCACACCATGTGGCATGCAGGATGCGGGATCTTAGTTCCCCAACCAGGGATCAAACCCGTGCCCCCTGCAGTGGGAGCACAGAGTCCCAACCCCTGGACGGCCAGGGAAGTCCCACCTTAGAATGCATATTTTCACAGTATTCTTTTTACTCATGAGCACAGGTTATCTTTCCATTTATTTTTGTCTGTTCGGTTTCCTTTATCAGTGTCTTCCAGTTTTCAGTGTGCAGGTCCTTCACGTCCTTGGTTAAATTTACTCCTAGTTATCTTTTTGGATGCAATTGTAAGTGGGATTTTTTTTAAAAATTCTTTTTCTGATGGTTCATTATCAGTGTGTAGAATCACAAATGATTTTTGTGCATTGATTTTTCTTTTTTTTGTATCCTGCAGCTTTACTGAATTCATTTTTTAGTTGTAACAGTTTTTTGGTGGTTGAATGTGGAAAACTAGAATTCAGAAATCCCACTGTTTCATCTACATCCAGGTCATCCACAGCACCCAAGACATAGTGGCTCCCAATATAATCTTCCCATGGTGCCTCTTGTGGTGTGTGGACTCCTACAAGGGTGATTAGCATCCCCACTGTGGGTGAACTGAATCTGGGTAGGGCTCGGCCTCTATAACAGAGTTTGATGTCTGTATTTCTGGCATGGTATGACATGGTTGTTTTGATAAGTACTTTATTTTCTAGTAAATTTCAAGTGTATAAAAAACTTTAAATAGCAGTATAAAGTTTTCCATTTTCACAAAATACTCCAGTTTGTTTTACCCTGTGAGAGTGGGAGGGCCACTCTCCCAGGGAACAAGCACATAACCCCAAAGTGAGGAATAATTAAGGTTTCCACATTGTAATCCTATCCACAGACCCGCTTCAACTTTCACCAGCTGCCCCAGCTTTGTGGAAATGTAGTTTTCTATTCGAATCCAGTTTTCTCTTCTTGGAACCATCACTGGGGCTTCTCCTCACTTTAAAAACCTTGCTGGATTGAAAGTGTACAAGATGAGCATGATCTGGGTGGGTTTCTGTATGGCTTCTTTCACTTGGGATGTTTTCACTGTTTATCCGCATTGTAACATTGATCATTATTTTATTCATTTTTTCCATTGTGATTAAAAACACATAACATTTGCCATTTAAACCATTTTTTAAAACCTTTTTAAAAATTATTTTATTTTATTTTCTATTTTTTGGCTGTGTCGGGTCTTTGTTGCTGCACACAAGCTTTCTCTAGTTGCGGCAAGTGGGGGTTACTCTTAGTTGCCATGTGCAGGATTCTCATTGCAGTGAGTTCCCTTGTTATGGAGCATGGGCTCTAGGCACACAGGTTTCAGTAGTTGTGGCACGAGGGCTCAGTAGCTGTGGTTCGCGGGCTTAGTTGCTCTGCAGCATGCAGGACCTTCCAGAACCAGTGCTTGAACCCGTGTCCCCTGCAATTGGCAGGCGGATTCTTAACCACTGTGCCACGAGGGAAGGCCCATTTAAACCATTTGTAAGTATACAGTTCTATGGCCTTAAGTACATTCACATTGTTGTAAAAATATCCTCACCATCCATCTCCAGAACTTTATTTTCCCCATGTGAAACCGTAGCCATTAAACACTAACTCCCCTCAACCCCTGGCAACCTTATTCTACTTTGTCTTTGAATTTGACTTATCTGCACACCTCATACTAGTGGAATCATAGAACATTTGTCCTTTTGTGTCTGGCTGGTTTCACTTAGCATAATGACTTCAAGGTTCATCCACATTGTAGCATGTGTGAGAATTACCTTAGTTTTAAAGGTTGAATCATATTCCATTTTGTATATACTACACTGTACTTATCCATTCATCTGTTGAAGGATGCATTGTGTTGCTTCCACCTTTTGGCTATTGTGAATAATGTTGTTATGAATATGGGGTACAGATATCTGTTCCAGTCCTTGCTTTCTTTTTTTTTTTTTTACATCTTTATTGGAGTATAATTGCTTTACAATGGTGTGTTAGTTTCTGCTTTATAACAAAGTGAATCAGTTATACATATACATATGTTCACATATCTCTTCCCTCTTGCGTCTCCCTCTCTCCCACCCTCCCTATCCCACCCCTCCAGGCGGTCACAAAGCACCGAGTGGATCTCCCTGTGCTATGCGGCTGCTTCCCACTAGCTATCTACCTTACGTTTGGTAGTGTATATATGTCCATGCCTCTCTCTCGCTTTGTCACAGCTTACCCTTCCCCCTCCCCATATCCTCAAGTCCATTCTCTAGTAGGTCTGTGTCTTTATTCCTGTCTTACCCCTAGGTTCTTCATGACATTTCTTTTTTTCCCTTAAATTCCATATATATGTGTTAGCATACGGTATTTGTCTTTCTCTTTCTGACTTACTTCACTCTGTATGACAGACTCTAGGTCCATCCACCTTATTACAAATAGCTCAATTTCGTTTCTTTTTATGGCTGAGTAATATTCCATTGTATATATGTGCCACATCTTCTTTACCCATACATCTGATGATGGACACTTAGGTTGTTTCCATCTCCTGGCTATTGTAAATAGAGCTGCAATGAACATTTTGGTACATGAGTCTTTTTGAATTATGGTTTTCTCAGGGTATATACCCAGTAGTGGGATTGCTGGGTCATATGGTAGTTCTATTTGTAGTTTTTTAAGGAACCTCCATACTGTTCTCCATAGTGGCTGTACCAATTCACATTCCCACCAGCAGTGCAAGACTGTTCCCTTTTCTCCACACCGTCTCCAGCATTTATTATTTCTAGATTTCTTGATGATGGCCATTCTGACTGGTGTGAGATGATATCTCATTGTAGTTTTGATTTGCATTTCTCTAATGATTAATGATGTCGAGCATTCTTTCATGTGTTTGTTGGCACTCTGTATATCTTCTTTGGAGAAATGTCTATTTAGGTCTTCTGCCCATTTTTGGATTGGGTTGTTTGGTTTTTTGTTATTGAGCTGCATGAGCTGCTTGTAAATTTTGGAGATTAATCCTTTGTCAGTTGCTTCATTTGCAGCTATTTTCTCCCATTCTGAGGGTTGTCTTTTGGTCTTGTTTATGGTTTCCTTTGCTGTGCAAAAGCTTTGAAGTTTCATTAGGTCCCATTTGTTTATTTTTGTTTTTAATTCCATTTCTCTATGAGGTGGGTCTAAAAGGATCTTGCTGTGATTTATGTCATAGAGTGTTCTGCCTATGTTTTCCTCTAAGAGTTTGATAGTGTCTGGCCTTACATTTAGGTCTTTAATCCATTTTGAGCTTATTTTTGTGTATGGTGTTAGGGAGTGATCTAAACTTATACTTTTACATGTACCTGTCCAATTTTCTCAGTACCACTTATTGAAGGGGCTGTCCTTTCTCCACTGTACATTCCTGCCCCCTTTATCAAAGATAAGGTGACCATATGTGTGTGAGTTTATCTCTGGGCTTTCTATCTTGTTCCATTGATCTATATTTCTGTTTTTGTGCCAGTACCATACTGTCTTGATTACTGTAGCTTTGTAGTATAGTCTGAAGTCAGGGAGCCTGATTCCTCCAGCTCCATTTTTCGTTCTCAAGATTGCATTTGTTATTCGGGATCTTTTGTGTTTCCATACAAATTGTGAAATTTTTTGTTCTAGTTCTGTGAAAAATGCCAGTGGTAGTTTGATAGGGATTGCATTGAATCTGTAGATTGATTTGGGCAGTAGAGTCATTTTCACAATGTTGATTCTTCCAATCCAAGAACATGGTATATCTCTCCATCTCTTTGTATCATCCTTAATTTCTTTCATCAGTGTCTTATAACTTTCTGCATACAGGTCTTTTTTCTCCTTAGGTAGGTTTATTCCTAGATATTTTATTCTTTTTGTTGCAATGGTAAATGGGAGTGTTTTCTTGATTTCACTTTCAGATTTTTCATCATTAGTGTATAGGAATGCCAGAGATTTCTGTGCATTAATATTGTATCCTGCTACTTTACCAAATTCATTGATTAGCTGTAGTAGTTTTCTGGTAGCATCTTTAGGATTCTCTATGTATAGTATCATGTCATCTGCAAACAGTGACAGCTTTACTTCTTCTTTTCCAATATGGATTCCTTTTATTTCCTTTTCTTCTCTGATTGCTGTGGCTAAAACTTCCAAAACTATGTTGAATAAGAGTGGTGGGAGTGGGCAACCTTGTCTTGTTCCTGATCTTAGTGGAAATGCTTTCAGTTTTTCACCATTGAGGACGATGTTGGCTGTGGGTTTGTCATATATGGCCTTTATTATGTTGAGGAAATTCCTTCTATGCCTACTTTTTGGAGGGGTTTTATCATAAATGGGTGTTGAATTTTGTCAAAAGCTTTCTCTGTATCTATTGAGATGACCATATGGTTTTTCTCCGTCAATTTGTTAATATGGTGTATTACATTGATTGATTTGCGTATATTGAAGAATCCTTGCATTCCTGGAAT